TAAAATTATAAATATATGAGTGACTTTAACAAAATGAGTGGTTACAATAACGCCGGCCCCACTTAACCTTCCATCAACTGTTTTCTTTTAATTATTATTTTTGGTAGTAAAAACAACAAAATTTTGCAAAATGTTGTGGCCTTAATAAAATGTTAGGACGGCCACAACCACCCCCGGGTGGCCCATCATGCTAATTTAATGGTGTAACCAATGAGAAAAAGATAAGAACAAGGTTGTCAATTTGCATGCAACTGTCAAAGGGCCTAACAGGAAAAGCTGTTTAATGATTGCACCTGGCCATTCAGGCAATTGGATTATAGGTGCACCTGTTGGTCATTTGTTTGGTTCAATTCTCCATTGTAAAAACTTGTAGTTATTCCAAAAAAAAAAAAAAAAAAAGCGTTCGATGATTTCTTAAATTAACTTTGCTACACAATTTCGCAATCATGATAATGCTAGCCATGCCGTTGGCAACCATTATAGAGTTTGGACCTATGGCGAGCGTTTCTAACTAATTAACCCAATTACATTTGCATATTTAAAGAGAACTAAGTTTTTAAGAAATACAATCTATTAAATTAGTCAAAATGTCAAATGATACAAAATTCTTATTTTAGCTACATGCATTTTTTGTATGTAGAAACTAGGGCTATACATATTCAAGTCACATTGATTGATTTAATCCAAACAAATTTAATTCTATTAAAATTCAATTCAAACTAATATTAATTTCGAGTTGGTTTGAATTTAAAATTTTAAAACTAATATAAATAGTTTAGTTTATGATTTTACCTTTTGTTAGAAACTGAAAAAAAAAAAAAGAGAATAATTTTAAAAAAAATTTATTTTTTTTAATAATACTGTATGTACAATGACCTATATATAAGTGTTTACAAAAAGAATATTTTAAGATATAAAATATATAAAGAGAATATTTTAAGGTATAAAATATTTACAATAAATGTATTCACATCTTAACATTCTTCCTCAAACTCAAAGTGGTTGTGATGAAACCAACTTGAGTTTGGAAAGAAGAGTACGAAAACGTCTAGAAAAATGAGCCTTGGTGAATAGGTCTGCTAGTTGATCAGTGGAGCCAATGAAAACCAAATGAACAGTTCCTTGTGAAACATGATGGCGAACTAAGTGACAATCAACCTCAATGTGTTTAGTGCGTTCATGAAAAACATCATTATGAGCAATCTGTATGGCAATCTGATTGTCATAATACAGATTAGTAATAGGCGGTTAAGGAGCACCCAGATCTTCCAGTAGCCAACATAAGTTAAGTAGTTCTTATGTAGTGTCTCCAAGTGCTCAATATTTAGTCTCTTTGCTAGAACGTGATGGAACTATTTACTTCTTGCTGCACTAAGAGATTAAGGGAATCACTAAGAAAAAGACAATATCTAGTGGTGGATTTACTATCATTAGAGTTTTCAACCCAATCAGCATCTAAGTAAGCACGAAGTTCAAGAGATGAGTGAGCAGAAAAGTGAATCCATGAAACAATGTTCCCTTAACATAGCAAATAATGCGAAGTACTGCCACATAATAAGTGGAGCGAGGAGAAGCCATAAACTCACTAACGATGTGAACTGCATATGCTATGTCAAGGTGTATCATGGTAAAATAAACTAGACTACCAACCAATTGCAGATAGTGAGTAGGATCAGAAAGTGAAAAGCCATACATAGGTGTAAGCTTGACATTAGGCTCAATAGGTGTAGAAACATTTTTGCTATCATTAAGTTCAGCTTTAGAAACAAGATCAAAGGCATACTTTACTTGAGAAAGTAGGTAGCCATCATCTGAAGATGTGACTTCAAGCCCTAAGATCTTTCATCTTAAATTTCTAATTGAGAGACTATTTTAACTCCTCAACATCTGTGATATCATCTCTAGTAATAATCATGTCATCAACATCAAGACATAAAACATCCAGACCTCAAGCAGTCTTACGAATGAATAGAGTTATATCACATGGACTCAAAGTAAAATCAAACTCACTCACAGTAGCACTAAACTTTGCATACTAGGCTCAAAGGGATTGTTTCAACTTGTATAATGCACGCGTAATCGGCATACCTTGTTTGGAGGATGGTTGAGCCCAGGAGGTGATTTCATATAAACTTCTTCTTCTAGGTCACCATTAAGAAAAGAATTTTTCACATCCATTTGAAACAATTTCGATCTCTGTATAACAGCAATAGCAAGCAAACTGCACACAGATGGGAGATGAGCAACTGGAGCAAATGTTTCCTCATAGTCTATTCCATACTCCTGTATAAAAGCCTTAGCAACCAAGCGTGCCTTATAACACTCCACAAAACCATCAGATCATGTTTTGATCTTGTATACCCATTTACAACCTAGTAGAGACTTTTTAGTAGGGAGATCAACTAAATCCCATGTACGAGTGTTCTCAAGAGTATGCAATTCATCTTGCATAGCTTGTTGTCAAAGAGGGTTAGTAGAGGCCTCTCGATATGATTAAGGCTCATGTAAAGAAGTAATAGCAGGAAAACAATGATAATCATGAAGGTAGCTAGGAAGGTTTCTTACCCGAGTAAGACGACTCGAGGATGGGACAACAAGCTCATTTGGAGACTCAATAATATCATATGCAACATCAATAGGTGATATAGATGAGAAAGTAAAGGAAGGCTCAAAATTATCTAATACATTACCAGCAGGCAGATCATCTTCAGTAGAACCAGTTGAAGCATGTGGTGAGACGTTATAGAGCTCATTAGATGTACCTACATCAAAATCACTAGGGAATACCTCAACAGAAGGATTGGTAAAATATGAAGGTTGATCAAAAAATGACACTTGGAAGTTTGATAACAAGGACAACATAGTGTATTCCCGAAAGAAAACATGACGTAAGACTCGAAGTTTTTGTGACACAAGATCCCAACAACAATATCTTTTATGTGTAATCCCATAACCCAAAAAACAACACAATTGAGCTTTAGGCTCTGGCTTGTTATGTTCATGGGGTGGAAGAAGAACAAAACAAGCACAACCAAAAACCTTAAGAAAATCATAAGTAGGAGGAATACCATGTAAACATTCATATGGAGACTTATTGTTGATCACTGAGGATGGAATCCAATTAATGAGATAAACAGCTGTAAGACTAGCTTCACCCTAAAATCGCTCTGGACAAGAAGATGAAATGAGCAGAGCACGAACAGAATCAATGATATATCTGTGTTTGCGTTCAGCTCGCCCATTTTATTTAGAAGTGTAAGGACAAGATTATTGTGTTAGTGTACCCTGTTCTTTGACAAAAGATTGAAGTTTAGTATTAAAATATTCAGTGGCATTGTCAGTTCTCAAAACTTTGATAATTTTAGATAATTGAGTTTTGACCTGGTAGCAAAATCAATATAAATTATAGTAACTCAGAGCGATTTTTCATAGGATATATCAAGGCATTGTTTTAAAGCTTGGCATGGCCCGATCTAGCCTAGTCAATTGAATCGGTTCAACCGGACCCGAACTTGAAAATGAGTTGGACACAACCTGCAACCTGTTTTAGCAATTGACCCGCTCCAACCCGTCAAGCCCGCTACACCTATTTGGCTCATTTCACCTATTCAACTCGTTGGGCTACACCTTATTTCTTCGATTAACCCTTCTTTTTTTTTTTTTAATTTTCAAGGTAATATATCCATTTTATCTCATCTGTTTAATATTATTACATAAAACCCCTCTTAAACTTCAATTAAGATGAGATTAAAAAAAAACCCCTAATAAAAGGCCAAAATTGGAAAAAAAAAAAAAACTCAACAAACATTGTAGAAAATAAAAAGAAGAAGAAAGCTCAAGAGCAGAATAGATCTTTCCCTCCTTCCTCCACCGTCCTCCCTGCTCTCAACCACCACCATCGCCAACCCTTTGGACAACCTTCGCGCTCATCTTGCTTAGCTTCCTCCACCAAACAGTGGCAACACTAGTTCACCGAACGAAGCAGCAGCAAGTACAGAGCAACAACAACAGAGCGAATCTGCATCTACTCTCAACCACCACCATCAGTAGCCCTTTCCCTCCCTTTCATAGCTCATCTTCCTTGCCTTCCTCCACCGAACAGAGTAGCAGTAGGAACAGAGCACTAGCAAAACTGATGTGCATCTTCTCTAAAGCACCACCATTGGCAACCAGTAGCTTTTCCTTCATCGAACAGAGCAGTAGCATCAAAGTACCAAACAGAGCAACAACATCGAACAAAGCAAAATCATCGACCTTCCTCTCTTTCCCAGTGGGCAGAAACAGCCTCTCCTTCAGCCATCGAATAGAGCAACAAGAACTTCCTTTCCTTCATGCACTAAACTGAGCAGCAATAGCAAAACATATCCTCTCTTTGCAATAGAAGAGAGTAGCATTTGTTTCTCAGTGGGTAAGAATTTATGTGATTGTTAATTGTTTATAGGAATTAATTTTTTATTAATCAACATATATAAGATTTGGAAATATATATATATATATATGTATGTATGTAATGCATTGATGCTGTGATGTTCAAATCACATATATATAGATATATATATGTAATGCATTGATTGCTGTGATGCTTGTTTTTATTTGTTTGTAATTTGTAATGTATTGATTTTAAATTTTAATGTTTAATTCAAATAAATTTTTATTTATCATTCTTACATTCATGGAGTTTTTCTTAATAGTTGAAATATTTGTGTAAATTATAGAAAAATGTCATATTCAAGACTTTATATATATATGTATATATATATATATTCAAGACTTATTTTGTAGTGAATTTAGTTGAAGATTGAGTTTTTTTTATTATCATACTTGAAAACTTATCTTATATTATGTATTTTAATATTTGTTAGTTTAGATCTTGAAATTAAAAATTATATGTTTTTAATTAAATTTATTATTTTAAATTACCTAAATGATGATTTTCAAGTTGATCTTATGATAACTATTTCTTAAGAATAAATGAAAGTAATATACAATAGTAAAATCAAATAAATATATATATATATATATAAAGTTTTTTTTAGTTGACTGGTTGAACTAGTTGGGTGAACCAGTTGGACCGATTGGGTGAACCGATTCAATTGATTCAATCAGACCCGGTGGCCAAACCACTATATCTAGATAAAATGAGTACAATTATCAATAAATAACATAAAGTACTTGAAACCCCCTACGGTGAGTGTAGGAGATGAACCCCAAACATCAAAATGCACAAGATCAAAAGGAGCAGTAGAATAAGAATGACTACTTGAAAAAGATAAAATTGGTTGCTTTGTAGATTGACATGACACACAATGCAAAGATTCATTCGGAACCAATCCCAATAAACCATGAGAGACAAGTGGACAAAGTTTACCAATTGAGGCATGTCTAAGCTATGAGTGCCACAAATGGAGAGGAGAAACGTTAGTAACAACACAGACTTGCAAAATTTGTTGGTATGGAATTTGTAAAGACTCTAATTTAATAGCACAAGGTAAGATTTAGATGAATCGATCATTCGGAAATGATGGTATATCCATTTTATTATCAGGAATATGCAGATAGTTGAGCTCAAACAAATGCCTCACCTTGTGACCAGTTCCAAGAAGTTGTCATGTCCGTGGGTCCTGCACATGACAACCATGAGTAGAAAATGTTATTTCAAAACCAAGATCACATAATTGATCGATAAATAGAAAATTATAACTAAGTTTTGGAACTAAGAAGGCATTTGGTAAAGTCAATGACTTTGTAGAAATATTGCTAATGTGACTAACATTTATAGAGGAACCACCAGCAGAACAAATATCAGGAAAGCAACTATTTGGTGACATTGAAGAGAAATGAGCAAAAATTGGAGACATATGGTTACAACAACTAGAATCAAAATACCAAGGTTTGGTACCTGGAGCAGTAGATAAGGTAGTAGGAGTATTAAAATGATTTAATATCACATATTTTAGAGATTCAAGGTTGACATTATGTTGGTTTATCACTTCTTTGGCAACCATAACAGTAGCAGAATGAGTTACAGTCCTTTCAAAACTTGCCATAGAATCAATAAAACTCACAATACTCAAAAACTCTAAAAAAAATGAAGAAATAGATGCCAAGATCAAAATAACAAGCCAACAAAATATCTTAGAAAGGGCTAGCGAATTGAGGATAAACAATCCAATTTATAGAAGAAGAGATCCCAATAAAAAAGTTTTAAGTCTGGAATGGATTTGAAAATTCAACTCCAAAAACCAAACAACTATGATAAGAGAAAAGAACCAGGAGCTTATAGTTCTGATACCATGTTAGAAACCGAAGAGAAGAAGAATAATTTGAAGAAAAGTTTATTACTTTTTTGAATAATATTGTATATACAATGATCTATATATATGTGTTTGCAAAGAGAATATTCTAAGATATAAAATATATAAAGAGAATATTTTACGGTATAAAATATTTATAATAAATGGGTTCACATTTTAACACCTTTAAACTAACTAAACTAAACTAAACTATTTGATTATAAAATAACTTAATTAAATAATATAATATTTTTATTTTTGCATTTTTTTTTTGTAAATGTATTTTAGAATTTTTATTTTTGTATACAAATTTGTAATTTAAAATTTCATTTCTTGTCCGATACAAACAAAAGCTATACTCTCAAAATTCTCTATTTCTTAAGCAATAATAGCATGGGCTTCATGTTTTGGTTGCTTTATTAGTTCTTATTAATTTTTTTGTTGTCTTCTTAATTCTTACTTCAACACCATAATTGATACTATTATTTTGTTATCTATAATGTTATTATAATTTATAATTGTTTTTTTTATAATTTGATACTCTAATTTTCTCCTCTATTATATATATTTAAAATAATATTAAAAACTTATCAATCTAACCAAACTATATCAATACAATCTAAATTAGATTAATTTTCTTATAATATAATAATAAATTAATTTAATTTACAAATTTTACTAACTAATTAAATTAATTTAATTTTAAAATATTAAAATCAAATTTAATTCACACTGAAACAGAACATCTCCATTTTCAAACTTAGGCAACATTTTCATTTATGTTATGAACTTGTACCCCCATAGGCGGAGCTATAGGGGGGGGCCTGAGGGGGCAAAGCCCCCCGCCCCCTAAACTTTAAAAAAATAAAACTTTGGTCTATTAAGTTTTATTTTTATTATATCAATCATTCTTTATTTCATACTACATTTTAATGATTTTTTAACTCCTGGTTTTTTCAAAGATTAGTTTTAGTGATTATGAGAAAGATGAGGAAAATAAAGATAAAAAAATATGATAAAAAAATAAAGATTAATTAAAGGTAAAATTGTTAAATATCATTGTTTTACAAAATAGTTGTTCACTAAACCCATTTTTTGTTCATTAATATTCTTTTAGTTTTTTTGTTTATTAATATTTCCTATACAATATATGCTTATTTTATCATTTAGTTGATGACATATATATAATACTATGCCATCAACTAATATTAGTTTATTATTAATAACTAACAAATCTTATTTTAAAATAATTTTTGTTTTTATTAACTTTTCATCAATGAATGAAGATGCATGGTTTTTTTGTCAAAATTTTATTTTGTCCCCCTTAAGAAAAATTTCTAGCTCCGCCACTATATACCACCTCTGACAATTGAAATACAATCCAATTAATAAGGTTGATAATCCTATCCCCAACTCAACAATGCTTGAAAAAAGAGAAGATATATAAGGTGAGTGAGTAAAGAGGATGATGCACAGGGGAGAAGGGTTGTGTATTACCTAAACAAAGACAAATATTGGATGGAGCCGGAGGTGTTGAGCCAAGAGTAAACAGTGTTTGGATAGGATTCAAGAGTCACAACAATAGTACTGTAGTCCTGTTTGTTTGTGGATTGAAATGAAAATATGCTAAATTTAGAGTGGAGCCACACTGCCTTTTTCTGGTGGTAAATGGCTGATTAACACCATTTTGTCAGCTGTTGGGAGTAAAGCACGATGTGATTGGGGCTGGGCTGGCTGGGTTGGGCATCACTTTTTCATGGCTTTTTTTATGCAAGGGTAACCTTTCCCACACCTCACGTTATTATAAGGTTAAATTGCATTTCTTTAACCCCATGGTTTGCTGCATGTGAAAAGAACACCTTGAGTGTCCAAAAAGTTTCACATAACCCCCTAACCCCTTGAGTGTCAAAAAAGGTAAGGCCTAAGGGGGTTAGCAGTTTAACACCATTAAGGCTTGTTTGATTAAGGTTTAAGTACCATTTTGGTCCCTCAACTTTTCACTTTGACACCAAAATTGTCCCTCAACTTTAAAAAGTACCAAAATTATCTTTAGACTTTCATTTTCAATACCAAAATGGTCTTTCCGTCAGTTAAATGACAGGTGGCATGTTAAAATGCCAGCAAATCAATTTTTTTTTTTTTTGCTTAATTAATGACATGGAAAAAAAATATATAGTTGGCTATGTTTTATTATGAGGTGGCATTTTCATTTAATTTAAAAATAATAATTCTTTTTTTTTTCACCCACATCAGATTTCTTCTTCCCCTTTCATTTTCTCTCTCCTTTACCTTTCCTTTTCTCTTACCTCTGCAAACCCAGGCCCTGGGTTTGAGAGAAGAAGAAGAAGGCTAACAGCAATAGTAGCAGAAGGACCCAGATTTGGGTTTTTCTCAAAACACATCTACAATCAAAGCAAAGCTCTCCTGAGTTAAAATCTCAAAATCCCATTCTTCAATACCCATTTCCTGTAAAATCAAAAAGAAAGAAAAATGTCCCAAAATTGTATAAATCAATTGGACATGGATTACAAATTTACATCAACTATATAGACCTAACAAACCTACATCCAAAATAAGAAATATTGCATTTCTAAGTCAAACTGGATTCTAATTTAGTTTCAAAATGGCACTAGCA